TAAAACCTGCCATATAGAACATAAATAACAAGAAAGGTCTGGGAAGCGACAGATGTGGTCACTTCTGAGACCTCTCGATCAGGTTATATATCACGCGATGGGTCTTGGCCTTCTGTTGCTTGAGATCTCTGCCTTTTCCAACCTGCTTCTAAGTTGTGCTTTGCTCTAGTCCCCCCCTTCAATCTCCTATCTTGAGCCAATACCAGCTGGTTAAAACCTTAAGGCCTAAAACCTCCCTTATTCTCATAGCGGCGTACTATCTCCAATGTCCTTCCCACCGGTACTAAAGGTACGTCTTGTGGTCCATGACCGCTCTTGTCTTCACCCTTCCGATTGTATAACTGATCAGGTATTCTGTCCATCCGTTGATACAAGAGACCGTCTGCTCCGACCTGAACTTGAGATGATCCCGACCCTCCACGTATATGGTTGACCCATATCCCCACCACCTTGCCCTTTCCGAGCCTACCTTATACCGCCCCTCGCGTTCTCTACATAGAGACGTCCTTGTGCCAGCTGTGACCCATACCCGTTTTTGTGTTCTCCCTTCAGATCACACATCACACAAGGTAGTCTGTCTTCCTGCTGACAGCGAGAGCTGACTTCTCCGGCCTGAGTCCGAGTTGTGCCAATCCTTCCAACGGATATGATCATCCCGTAACTCACCCACTTTGCCATTTAAAAGCCATAGTCTGATAAAATTCATTCTGATCTTTTTCTGCTGATCCTCATCCTCAGGCATCAATTGACTCGTTCTCTGCCACTTGCAGCGAATTTCTGCTTGTATCATAGACCTCGTCTCAGCCCATACCTTCTCCCTTGAGTTGCAAAGTCCTTCAATGGTTCTGCAGCATCTCTCCTTCCAAATGACCCACAACGTCCCCTTTCTGATCAGGCCGAACCACAACCTCTCTGTCTTCTGACATTGATCCGGGATGTTAGTCCAGAGGAGAACTTGGATGGGGTGATTGGGGAAAGGGGAGGGAAAGAGGGAGTTCCAAAGGGCTGAAGCCCTCGCCCAGTATTCCGTCGCCTCACTCCAATTAACCAGGCAATGTATTATATCCTCTTGAGCCCCTTCTGTGCAAACTGTGCATAGGTCTGTGCTGTTGGGATCGTTTCTTTGTCGACTAATATGTAACCATTGATTCACCGGAAGGGCGGCATAGGTGATGAGCCATTGCAAACTCCTGATTTTTATGGGTCTGATGGATTTAAATTTCTTCCATGGGATCTGAGTGATCTTGTCGGCTTCTTGTCCTAGCAACTTCTGCCATCTGCTCTTAGTTACAGGGTCTGGATCTTTTGTTCTTAGGAGGAGCTTATAGCCCAGCTTAACTGTGTACTCGTGGATGGGGGTATTGACCTTGATGTTCCTTTTTCTGTCAGGTGTCCAGGCCCATGCCTTCGGGTCGAAGTCCAAATTACGAACCGCTGTGTCTGGTCTGAAGAGTAGTTTTGGCCAAGACCCTAATACTCCTACTTTTCTGAGTACAAACCAATCCATGACTGTTGATTCGACCTCTCTATTTATTATGGTCGGCATACCATGGTTGGAGGGGGAAATTGGGAAGGAGGAGAACATCGCCCTAGTGCTTGACCCCTGCCGCATGTGGGAAAATTGAAAGGCCCTTGAGGGAGTTGTTTCTTGCACCTTCACTCCCCATTCACCGAGTTTCCAAGGCGAAGCTTCGTTCAAGAGATCTTTCCAGTCTTGTGGGATAAGGCTAATAATGTACAGCAGGTTTAGTCCCCGTCTATGACACCCTTTCAGTCGTATGCTGAGCTCCTGTTCAGTTATCCATTCTTTTGTTTCTTCCTTCCATAAGTAGCAGACCTTCCATACCCCATTTTTGACCCATGATAACCATTGGTGTTCCAGCTGAAGAGGAGTGTCCCCTTCATCCGTCACCCATTGGTTGCCGAACAGCGGTTGCCTCAGAACCTCATCTTTGGACCGTGGTCTGTTGATCTTTTTTGGCAGGATTTCCAGTGTTGCACGCGCTTACCGTCGGCGACCCCTGACTGGTCGGCTGCCGACCCGCCGACCGGTCGGCTGGTCGGCACCTACCGGTCGGGGGTCGTCGGCACCCCACAAAAAAATAAATAAAAAAAATTCGGTCCAGAACCCCTAATAACCCCACGAACACCCCCATACCCACCCCAAATACCCCCATACACCCCCCCAACACCCACAAACCGGCCCCCAATACCCTCATAACCCCCCCAAATACCCCCTATCCACCCCTATATCCCCCTATACACCCCACCCCCAAACCCCCATTCCCAAAAGTTTCTCAGCGGATTTGGGCTGTACTCAGCAAGCGCAGTACAGCTTCCAACTCAGATCTGAAAAAAAAATAGTGGATGGTTGTTTTCTGACTGGTAGGCAGACCGCCGACTGGTCGGCCCTACTGGTCGGCTGCAATGCGGTCGGCGGTCGGGGTTGGCGGTCGGCAGGGATGAAACCATGCGCGCAAGGAAGACCATGCAACAGGCGGCTGCGGCTCAATGTACAGGGGTAGCAGCGGTGGCAGGAGAGAACAATACATCGGGATTCGACAAGCACGGAGACGACACCAGATCTGGTTGCCCTCTTCTTTTCGTCTAGGAAGCTGAGCCGACAGCTGCGGTACACCATAACTGAGAGGATTTCTAGGAGGAAGGCAAGTTGAAAGTCAATTCTCCATGTGAATGGAGTAATCAATGCTGATCAGGGGTCCTTCGGCCGGATGCGTGCTCCTGTTGTATTTTAATGACGTGCCGGGGGAATAGGAACCGGACTGATGCTGCCCAGAATGGATATGGAGTCGGGACCATAACGCCCCCTTTTTTTTTTTTTTTTTTTTTTTGTGAAATGAGTAGCACGTGAAGTTTTCAGAGAATGTTTGAAACTACTCAGGAGTCAGGACCTAACCCGCTTTTTGTAACATTGTTTGTGGTGCAGGTGTTACGGAAAGCGGATATGATTCGGAAGAACGCTGTAGAGAGTGTTAAAGCGGAACGCAACATACTTATTTCTGTGCGCAACCCATTTGTGGTTCGTTCCCCAACCTTGACCTCTTGTTTTACGCATATGGAATGGATTGATGGATGGAGGGAGGGAGGGTGCGCTTTGTGTGACTCCAAAGTTAGAAAGTGTTGGAAGGGGACAAAGGGTGCTGCAGATGCAGCAGGGAAGTGTTGGATGGATGTACACGTGTGTGTGTGCATTCTGTGTGGCTCTGAAGCGTGGCAGGAGTAGAGGCTTTCTTTTCCTTTTCTTTTTTTTTTTTTTTGCCAGAAGGTTGGTGCATGACAACAGTTAGCAATGTTTAAAAGCTTTAAATCAAAACAAAGGGCTCTGCAGAGGGGTCAGTAAATGACTCTGGAGTTTGGGAGGAGAAACTCTTTGTGGAAGGATTAGAAAATTTGTATGCCACATCCTGACGTTGTGCCTGCAGCTTGAAGGTAACGAGGATTGATATAGGTGCGGATTGAAAACCGTTGTAAATGGTGCCAGTAAAAGGCAGGCATCCTGATGTCTGGATGCCAGTCTGAGCGGCAGAGTGGTCACTGCCTGGGTACTTGATGTCCGGAGGCATGTTTGGAGCACAGATGAAAACTCATATTCAAGAGGGGGTATTGCAGTTCCACTTGCAACTATGCCAGAGTGAGTACACAAATGATGTATGGATGCCAGTCCGAGCGGCAGAGTGCTCACTGTCTGGGGACTAGATGTCCGCAGGCCTATTTGGAGAGCAGAAGAAAACACGTATTCAAGAGGGTGTATTGCAGTTTCGCTTGCAACGATGCCAGAGTGAGTGGAGGATTGATGTCTGGATGCCAGTCTGGGATGGACAGTGGTAACTGTCTGGGTACTACCGTCTTCACCCGAATAGAACGACCGGTCATTATCACTGTATGTAGACTGAAAGTTGCACAAAATACGGCTATAATGACCGGGCTTTCTATTCGGGTGAAGACGGTAGATGTTTGGAGGCCTGTTTGTAGCACAGATGGGAACACGAATTCCAGAGAGTGTATTCCAGTTTCGCTTGCAACAATGCCAGAGTGCGTGGCACTGCGTGCACAGTTGCAGTGTTTGCTTCTTCTTATCTGCTTGTCAAATTCCATGCCAGGTGGCATGACTAGATCATGTGTGCTCTGTTGCTATTTTCAAAAGTGGAGTATCGTGAGCATTATACCTGGACACTTACACGTTCTTCTCCTCGTTGTGTCCTCCTCCCACCCTGGCCGGTGTTTTTGGCAAGAGGGCAATGCTGAATCCTCCATGAAAATGGACTTGTTGGGGTAATCAATGCTGTTCAGGGGTCCTTAGGCCAGGCCGAGGGAAACGTGCATGTGTGTGTAATCTGTTGTAATTTTCACGACTTGCCGGGGGAGAAGGAACCGGACTGACTCTCCTCGGAATGGACATGGAGCCAGGACCATAAGGCCCTGTGTGAGGAATGTGTCCTTATGGGGCCCTAGACAACATGCATAAGTTCTGGACTATGGCCCCCAGCAAGCCTCGTGCCCACCCTAAGTGAAGGTGGGCCTGAATATCCACGAGAGGCCTTAAAACTGCATTTTCCAATGTGGGTCTCAGACAGTTGCTGCACGCCAGTTGGTTGACGTGCAACCTGGGCCTCACCCTGGGCTCTTCCAGAAGAAGCAGCTGTGTAAGGCAGTTGCGCCCTGGGCACATGCAGCGTGAGGCCGACACATCACGAAGTGGCCATGGGCCATTGAGAGTGCAGCATTGTCGTCACATCTACCTCGCGGGCCAATGCAAACACAGCAAACATTCGGAGCCTGGATAATCCTGGGTGTGCCCAACTGAAAAGGGCCTAGGCCGTCAACTGCAGACATGGGCCTGGGTGCAGACACTGGGGCCCGGCCAGAAGCTACTGGAAACTTCCACGACCAGGCCCAGAGACTCCATCAGCAGCAGCGACTCCCATATAGGGAGCAGGCCATCCAGTGGAGAGCATTCTGGCCTAGGCAGGCAATGCGGACACGCTGCTGCGATTGGGCGCAAGTGTCTGCATTGCGCTAATGCTGGCTGGGGGGCAGGCGGGCCCTGAGAGATGTGGGGCGCGCGCAGGTGGAGGAGACGGTGGTCTTCAGGAAGGAGGCGCAGGTGTGGGTGGAGAAGGGCTGATGAGGTTAGACGAGAGAATGTACCTGGTGTATGTGGGAGGTCGGCATTGGTGTCGACGTCATGTACAGTGGACTTCGTTGTAGAAGTGAGCCTGTTGCACGAATGTAGGATGAGTAGAGAAGGCTGGGCCCTGGGCACCAGACAGTAGGGGCGACAATGCCGCGACATTGAATACTGCGTTGATGTGGGCCTGAGGACTTGGACATTGGCTCACGAGTTCACTGTATCGCATTTGGATGGAATCTTGGTGCATGTGAGCTCTCTGCTTGTTGCATGACTATCTGGACTTCTGCGTGATTTTGCATGTTTATCGCTCTCGTCCATATTTCTTGCACCCTGTTATTGTGGGAAACAAAAAAGAAGAAAAGGAAGAAGAAGAGGATAGGCACTGGGATGCCACTCGTAAACAAGGCACTACGCTGCACCCTTTTGCTTGCACAGCTCTGTCTCTGGCTGTTAGGATCAGATCTCCGTTCAGCTGGTTTTGGTTTCCATCCATGATTTGAACTCGTGATCTCTGAGGATTGGCAGCTCACTGCTGCCAGTTCTGAATATTCGTCTGCGACTCTGCGGTTTCATCTTTACTTGCACAGTTCTTCGTCTGATCAGCTCGGCTGTACCTGTTTGACAACACTGCTGACTATGGCTGTTGTTCGTTTCTTTGTTGAAATGGCTTGTTGTGATAGGTGCGCTTCTTCTATTCTTTCACTTGTGAAGAGAACCTGTATTTGGTAATGGAGTACATTAACGGGGGCGATTGTTTCTCGCTTTTGCGGAAGTTGGGTTGCTTACATGAGCTGGTTGCAAAAAGATACCTTGCTGAGATGGTATGTGTTGGACAGTTATACTTGGTAATGGAAGACATTGAGTTTTTGTTTTTTATTTTTTTTTCTGGGGCACGGTGGGGTGGTGTGTGTCAGCGGCCTGTCGCAAGAGGACGTGCATTTCTCCTCAGTTTGTACTCTCCAGCTCTCTCTTCCAAGTCCTCTGCCCTTTTGGTGTCTCTTTCTTTTTGTTGTTTTTTGTTTTGTAGTGTGTTTGTGTGAATGTGTGTGTCCCTTTACTGTCTCTTCAGAGGTCTGTGAGTTCCTTTCTGTTCACAGGTCGTGAATATCGGGGTGAATGAGGATAGTAAATGTCTTCTGATCAATGCACTCATTTTGAATTTGACTGAGGCATACTCAACACAAGTCCTGTACTCTGCTGATTCCAGGCTGTCTCCATTATTATCACCCTCGTTTTGTGTGGATGTGAACATTCTTCGGGCCTCCACAAAATAAGCTGTAAATGTTTTTTATGTGTCGAAGGCTACGGGGTCCATATTCAGACAGGGATCTGAACGTCCAGTCGTCTGGTGTTAGGATAGTGGATGCCGCCAGAGAGGTCTGGAGGCCAACCCCAGGTATGGAACGCAACATTTGGCCGAAGTTACAATTTTGAAAATAATACATGTATTTAAAAGGGCCTTTACCCAATGCCGCCCCTGGCCGACAGGAACAGCATATTGGGGTACCTCGCCCAGAGCCCAGATCGTGAAAGCAGATCAAAAGACAAGTTCTCTGGCTCAAAGGTCACACTTTCAACTGAAGTAAAAGGCATTGTCAAAGGTCACGGTTGTGCCTCTGGACGAACAGTTGCAATATCTAAGTATTTGGGTTACATCTGTTCATCCAGGGGATGTGCAACTCATGTCTGTTCATGCAGAGATGTGTCTGTACGTGCAGTCAAATGTGTCTGTTCGTGCAGTAAAGGTGTCTGTTCGTGCAAAAGATGTGTCTGTCTAAAAGAAAGTCAAAGAGTTCAGTCCCAGTTCGGATTCTAGTCGAAAGGGAAGTCTAGGTTCAGATTAGGAGTCCGAAATCAAGCCCTGGAGGCCGCAGCAGCAGTGACCGTTGAAGGAAAAAGGTCTGGGACACATACACAGAGGCTGGGACTGGGAAAGGACCGAAGACAGACAGGATTCAGCCCTCATTTGAGGAGGCCAGCAGTATAAGAAACGAGGCTGCCTCCTCCCACGACAGATTTTCCACTGGCATTGATGCGTGGAAGTGCTGCGGCACTTGTGCGCTAGCTGGCTGGACAGGCGCTGGCTGGAGTAGAGCTGCGCCAGGAAGAAGGGAGGCTGGGCGCTGGCTGCAGGGAAGCCATAGCTGCACCAGCCTATGTTAGTCATAGAGGGTTAGTCAGTAGGACATCAGTGAGTGACATTCAGAGTAGATCTTTGTAGGTGAAAGTGTGCATGCTGAGTGAAGAGGGAGAACCAAGATACAGTTCTGGAGAGAGAGGGAGAGAGAAGACAGCGAGCAAGCCTGGATATGGTGGACACTTACCTGTTGCGCCACATTTGAGATCTGTAGAGGACGCTGGTAGAGCCAGGTCCCGCGCTGTTATTGGATGAAGGAGACTTACCTCTGGCCGATGTTGAACTCTAGAACTCACGATACTCTTTGTATTCAATGACACTGATGATATAAGCTGCGCTATTGGTTCTTATCTCCTCTCAATCTGGTTTTGTGTGAGACCACTTGGTACGTGTGATGACATGTATGCATGCGGTGTGATGCTCTCAAGCAAGCTGTGAACAGTTCGGTTCCTTGTATATTTCTAGGCTACCAGCCGGGCCGCCTGGGTCACCCTATTTTCCCGGGCGGCCCGGCCGTGCAAGGACCACAGAAGGTCCCATAAAAAAAAAAAATTCGAAAAAAGCTATTTTAAGCAGAAAAATAAACTGGACAACTTTTGCCGCAGGGTCACATCGAAATTCCTTATCAAATTTAAAACAAAATATATACTTTTTATTTTTAATCGTTTTTTGCCCGGGCAGGCAAGTGGTCCCCGGCCACTCTCGTAGCCTACAGGTATACAAAGTTAACCTGCAAAAATGCATGTTGTGCAAAATGTCTGCGAGCAGAGTTCGGCGGAGAGTCAGCTCCAAATATGCTGGCAAAGTTGAGCTTGAGAAGAATGCAACTCTAGAAGAAATTCCTTGTACATGTGTTGTCATGTTTGTTGCATAACTAAACAATAAAAAAAAATACGCACCACTGTGCCAGACTGTTTAGTCCGACTTTTACCGATGTGCTTGTACATGTGTGAAACAAATAAAATAAGTGGTATAAAGTAGATTTCCTAAAGTTTCCAGATTCGTCCAACTTTGTATTTTGGCAGCATAAACAGTATATTGAAATACAGTTGTAAGCTGATTGATTGGTTGGTTGATTGCTTTATCGATCTCGCCGCTGATTGATTGGTTGACTGATTAGTTGATGTACAAATAGACGGAACGGGAGAGACTGATAGGTTGATAGATAGGTGGATGAATGGTACCTGCTTTTGCTTTGACAGTGAACAAGCAGCCATCGGAGGGAACTGTCCACTTGTTGAAAATGGGGTGTTCCCGGCTTTTTTTTTTTTTTTTTTTTTTGCGGCAGGATTTGAATGTGGTACCTGTATGTCAACAGTTCTTCGGTGTAGCAACTGAGCTAGGCCCGTCGGTGTCTTTTTCTTTTTTTACACCGAAGAATTTTGAACCCTTTACCCGGCACCTTACCCCACGAATGGCAATGTTCATTTTGTCTGACCACAAATGTAGAAGCAGTGACACCAAAAAAAAAATAAAAAAAATGCAGCAGTGACACCAGTGGTGAATGTTCTGTGAATGTTTTTGACTCCACCAGGCGTTTTGTGGGATATGTCTGTTGCGTTTTTTAACAGGTTCTTGCACTTGAGTATTTGCATTCTATTGGGGTCGTTCACCGTGACTTGAAGCCAGACAATCTTCTCATTGGCCAAGATGGGCACATTAAGGTATTTTTACATCATATAATGCGATCCCTACCGAATTCCTGGAATCTTGGCGGTCTGGCTTATCTTTGAGGCCTGTTTCCACCATCCTTGAAGCGGTATTGCAAGCCCCGGTTATAGGTGTTATGCAATTTATGACTATGGTATTGTGAGCCCTTATGGTTATCGCATCACCGCAAGGAGGTTGTTGAATCGACCACGCAGCCTGTACCTGCATGCCAGTGGGTCCTCGCAAACCTTAAACGACGACTTTGTGCCCCAGCCAAAAGAGAAAAAATGAAAGTGCACGCACTCACAACTTCCGGAGGCTCAGGGCTACCGGAGCGAAATGGCTGGTGCTGCCAGCCAAAAAGAAAAGAAAATGTGCTCGCGCTGGTTCGGTGTCTGTTTTGGCGTGCAGCGTGTGTTTGGACATAGGTAAAAAAACTGCCTCCGACGTAGTGGTGGTCTGACCCAGGCAACTACAAGTTGCCTTGTACGTATACGTGGCGCGGAGGAAGAGGTCACCGATCCGCTGAAACTGGTAAAAGACCGTAAGAGTGATGCGGGTGGGGTTTGAGCAGAAAATTCCTTTTGTTTGGTCCTCTCCTCCCTCTGATCTTGTAAAGAAATGCAGATATGCTTTGACATCTTGCAGTGGCAAGTAGCGGAAACCCGTTTCCTTTCGATTCCAGGTCTTGTGATGATTGAACTTCACCCACTGAGTGTCGCTCTGTAATCCTTCGTTCTGAACCTGGAAGAGCGGCGGTCTTTGGAATGTGCAGTCGGCAGGGCCAGGACTGTTCTTCAGCTGCTAGCTATCTGATCCTTGCATAAGCGCTGGAAATCAGGAGGTTCCTGTCAAAGCTTCCTAGCTCTGTGGGCTTGTACGTTTGGCATATGTCAGTTAGTGAAAATTTTCGCCCGAAAATGTAACATGAAACAGGTGAGTGTCTGACATTATGCAAACGTCTGCCTAAGTGGCATCACTGTGGCTCAGCGTTCCACTGTGGTTCAGGTGTGGCTGTGTTCCTGAGCAGTGTCCTGCGTCCCCTGCCTCGCCCTCCCCTTCCCCCCCCCGCCCCCCTCCACCTTCTCACCCGTTCCCCAGTTTTGAAAACAGGACTTGTCGTTTTCTGCTTTAATCCCATCTCTTGGTACTTTCTTCCCTGGTACAGAACACACAGGCATCATGACGGTGTTTAGACCGGAAAAGGGTGGTTGAATACATTCATGATTGATCATCGGGCACTACGCTATAGGGAAGAAGGTAGTGCTTCTCTGCAGTGCTGCTTTACTGTGACGGCTTTTGCTGCTTGGCTAGGTGGGTTTTGGTTAAGCCCGAACAATTCCCAGGATCGGGAAATTCTGATTGATATATCAACAGGCACATGTGCTGTAGCACTCAACAGGAGAGGGCGGTGGCAGTTTGAAAAAGAGACTGCCGTGTATTTGTGTGTGTTCACAGGAGAGGCTTCGGTGAATTTTCGTGCACAAAAAATTCTGAAAAAATTGAGGCGTGTAGATTAGGTTTAGGTGCTGATTTCGAGCGAAAACATTTATTTTTCTAAGCGCACGGGTCCGATGGCTGGTGGTGGTAGGTAGCCACCCTGGCTTGTGGCCTTCCATCCCGCGCCAGGGGTGAGAAGCAGGGGTACTGCTCCCACACAGAGCAGCGTTGCCGCACAGTGTAGACCAGTGGAAAGGGTTAGACCGGTAGGTAGGTAGGGGGAGGCATAATAATAATGAGAGAAGGATATAGGGTAAAAGAAGAACTTGTGGCAAACTGGCACGGGTTTTGCACCTCACTTTCTGCGATCCGCTGCCACTGCAAGGTCGAAATGATTTCCGCGTAATGGGACGAATGGTCCCCCGAACTAAAATCTATCGGGCGGAGTGGTGGTTCGAGGCTCAAGAGAGGTTACAAGCAGATAAACTATAGTCTGTGTGGTAAGCCCATCCAATTTAGATACCCAGTACACAGATGAGAGTAAATCTGTTTTTGTGTCTTTTTTATGTCACGGACAAAATCGGGGGAATGGTTCTGATGATGAGGAATCATCTTCTTTGTCGCAAAATGTAAGCCTTCATCCATTGCTGACGGAGTGCACACAGAAGTGGGCATGCGTAAGTACAAAGTAACACGAACTTACGTTGGAGCATCCCATCCAACGACCCGGGATGCGTAGGTGGCCTTCATCTAAGGTATGTATACTTTGTACTTACGTTGGTGTCATGAATGCAAACGAGCATTGGTGGATTGCTTTGTAGGTTAGGGTGTTGGCAAACGCCTCCACAATTAGGAGAGGGTGTTTTGGGCCTGTGTATTAGTGTGATAATCCTCTGCGAGCACAAATTCAGCCGTTGCTTACTTGCTTTGTGGTTGTCTTTGCTTTGCTATTATTGTGTCATCCAGCTTACAGATTTTGGATTATCCCGAGTTGGACTCATCAATAGCACAGACAATATCGGGAGCTTGACGCGAGAGGATCATATGGACTCGCCCTCGTCACCTGCAGACCATGAGCGTGTTCAGCGGAGGTCAGCCGTCGGCACACCCGACTACCTGGCACCGGAGATCCTCTTGGGCACAGATCATGGTAAGCGATGGTGCCTCCTCCTCCCTCTTCAACCCTGTGCAGGTTAAAGGTTGGCACACGTTCAGAATATCCAACCTCCCGCCCTAACCATTCTAACATCATGACACAGTTCACAGAGTTCACAGAGTGGAACACACAAGTCACTCAGCGCCATCAAAGGACTGTAATTGTGCGCTTCTGGCGCTTGTTCTCGAGAGTAAAGCAAAGAATGAACTGATAGCCCGAACTCCGTGCCACTGTTCTTCTCCGCGTGAACTCCCACAACTTATGGTGAGAAAAGAATCACAGTTGTTCAAGCAAGTCGCATACGACGCATAGCCTTTTAGAGAAAGTGTAATCATGCGCTTCTGGCACTCGTTATGGAGAGCAACAGAAGAGCAAAAGGCGTACTTCTGTGCCGCCTTTCTCCTCTCCCTGAACTCAAACAAGAAATGAGTGAGAAGAGAACATCTTGGTCGCTGATCATGATGGTATGTAGCAGTGACTCCCCCCTCTTCGAACCTGGTGCAGGTCGAAGGTGGTGTGTACTGCTCCCTTGTTCAAGGCATGCAAAATGGACCAGCAGTTGTCACGTCCGGAAAATCCAGTCAGAGGCCCATACACGTGTAACATAATGACGCAGCTCACGTACTGGATCAAAGAACGACTGTAATTGTGCACTTCTGGCACAGCAATTGCACAGTGGAAAACGCAACTCCCTTCCCGTGGCCTTTCCCCCCCACCTGAACTCCAACCGCGGTGGTGAGAATAGATCTCATCTTGGGCACTGACCCTGGTATCTGGAGGTGTCGTCTCCCTCTTCGTACAACACATATGTCGGGAAATTATGTCAAATTTGATTCCCTACGTTGGGTGCTTCGCTTCTGCAGGCAATGAAACACCGACTATTACTCTGGAGGAGGTTCATGTCTGCCACCAATCGACGATGTTGGAGGAGCAGGCAGAAACAGTGAGGAGGCGGCGTCAAAGCATTCAGCGGAGGAACATCAGCAACAGCTGGTGGGAGTAGTGGGATCTGTTGGGGAACCAAAAAGAACATATGAGGTATAATTGAGGGATGGGACAGGCATAGGGTTAGAAAGTGCATTGGCGGCGGGGCACGGAGGACTCAGCCGATAGATTGTGGCGAACAGTGGGGAGCAAGAAAGTGAGCAGAGTGGATCGACTACTACCAGGTACCAGGAAAAAGCGGTGACAAACCGGAGTTGCGTGAGCACTTGGGGAAGCAACAGAATCAGTGTTTTAGTCTTTACACGTAAGGGATAGGTGAGCGGGGAGGCGGGGTGGAATCATAGATAACAACAAACAGTTACGAATTTTACGATCCTTTTTTTTTCTTCCGTTTTTTTTTGGGTTAAATTGGACCATTTCTCAATTTATGCGTGTCAGCCTTGGGCGGGCGCGGTGCTAATCTTCTCCTCGGTATCATTCCAGTTTTAAAGTTTTAATGGATGTCCCAATGGACTTTTGTATTTGCGGCAATTTTGCATTTTTTTGTTGTATCTGCTTTGTGTGAGGGTTTGATCCCTCGGCATAACTGCATAAGGCCCTGCATCAGTTACGCGCCGGCCCTAAGTGAAGGCGGGCCTGTGAACTTGTCAATTTTTGCAAATCTTGGTCAGCAGAGGTGGTGGTGGTCTTTGTGTACGAGGAGGAAGGTGTGGGAGAGAAGACGAAGGTGCGAGAGAAAGAGATGAGGATGAGGATGTGAGGGGTACATGCCTGGTCTTGGCGATAGTCTACAAGGGTCGACATCTTCATGTATTTCGGTTCTGCTGCTGACATCCACAGTTGCATTTTCAATTTGTAGGCTGGTAGGAGCTATGTGATTGTACTCTGGGCGCTGAGCCCCAAGTAGGAGGAAGTGCTCTGGATATGTATGTTGGTGGTGTCGAGAGTATGCTCTCATTGACATTCGGATTCGGTGCTTTGGTTCTCCATTGGTGTAATATCGGTGCAATTCTGCTTTCTGGACAGTCTCAGACTTTCTGTCTTTCAATGTGATTTTGCAATTTGAAATCTTCTGTCATTTCGCTGTTACTCATTTTCCTTGCATTCGTATGAATCTCGTGTTTCTGTTTTTCCTTCTTTTTTTTTCTGTGAATTGTTGTCATGGTGATTTGTGTATTGATGGCACTCTCTTGACTGCTGCAGGGGCTGCTGTGGATTGGTGGTCCGTTGGTGTAATCCTGTATGAATTTCTCACGGGTGCACCTCCTTTCAATTCGACAACACCACAGGTGCGGATTTTATTCACTCACTGAAATTTAGTATTTATTATTTACTACTAGATGACCCGTTGCAGCTTCGCCCGCAAAAACAGAAAAAGAAAAAAGCACAAAAGAAAGAAAACGCATAAGGAACTGCCGTATCATAGTCCGCTTCTTTCACAATAAGAAAAAGAAGAGCCTGAGAGCAGATGAAAACCCGCGTGCAAGAAAATAGCAGGGAATACCACCGAACATTCTGTTTCTTTATCTTTGCGTGTTCTGTTTGGGGAGCCGTTACCTTTGCAGCATCGTTTTTGTTTTGTGCTGTGCAAGAACTCTGGACTTTTCTGAGAAAATCCAGTCCGTCCTCCAGTTGATGTTTTTGGTAAAGATTCAGAATCAGACTTTGTTTGCTGTGTTCTCTGGATATGGTTGTGATCAATCGATCTTGCATGTATGCCCAATGCTTACTTGTTGATTTTTGACGCTATGTGTGCAAGTGCATGCACGTGTGGGTGAGTCTCAGTTTGGTGGGCTCCGATAATGTCAGTGATGATTGGCCCGGGGAAGGTGTTGGAAGGCGCCTCCAACTATAGGAGTGCTGCTGATGTTGAGCAGGTTTTGCATTGTATGAATAAAACAATCAGCATTCAATCTGCTTGGCAGTTGCTCTTCGAGTGGGGGACTTGTAGGGAGTAGCATTGCCGTGGGAGCCATAATGCCAGGCGTGCATCTTGGAAAATTTCCAGGAAGGCAAAAGGCAAAAAAGAAACGTAGCACGTGTCAGAGTCACATAATGGACCACATAATGGACAGCTTGGCACAGTCCCCCCCCTTCTCTCTCTCTCTCTCTCTCTCTCTCTCTGTCTCTTCCCCCCGTGACTTAGAACTTGGAACCCTTTACTCCACCCCGACCTTCCCCTAACCCCACCTCACCCTTCGCCCCCCCAGCCTGTCAAACCCCTGAGGAGTCGGTGAATAGTCCGATTGCTCCACGTGGCTGGAGTTGTGTATAGAGAACATGACAACACACCAAACAAAAAAGAACAAAAAAGAACAAAAAAGAACAAAAAAGAGAAAGGCAAAACAGCCTGCGCAAGCCTTTAACCTCCCCCGGCTGCCGCCGACTTCCCCCAACCCTCCTCTCTCTCTCTCTCTCTCTCTCTCTCTCTCTC